AAATTGTTTTCATAATACATATTAGAATATAAATAAATTATCATAAAAATCCATTAGAAATTAAATAAAATTATTATATTAAAGATTATATTTTTATATTTAAATAGTTTATTATAAAAATATTTTTAATTTAAAAAATCATTAAAAAATATATAATTTTATATAAACACATGTTTTAAATATTAAAATTTTGTTAATTATTTTTTTTTTAAAAAAAATAAAATAAAATAAATTAAAAAAATATTGATATATAATAAAACGTATTAAACATAAATAGAAAAAGTAAAAATTTTAAAATAAAAAATATAAAAAAAAAAAAAATTAATTAAAAATATGTAAATATAAGAAATTAAAGAAGATCCATTAAGTTACAAAAAGGAAAATGTTCGTGGAGATAAGAAAGGAGGAAGAGTAAATAAAGGATCCAATAGATCGCCTAAAGTAGATCGTTAGGATACTACAGGATACAAAAAGCATCCTCATGGAAACAATTCACATAAAAACTATACCCATAAATACATCAGAAAATCTTAACAAGGAGATGAATAACTTCTTAATGATGACTAAAAGCCAAGAAATAACAATAGATAATATTAAAACATATACGAAAGAGTTAGTATTTATAATTGGGATAGAAATTAGATTACTTTGGAAACTCCTATTCCTGAAAGACCCAAAGAAAAAGAAATTTTAAAAGAACCTAGAAGAGAAGATTTAAACAAATTAATAGATGATATCGAAAATTAAATTGATAATGCTATTAATAAAAAAAATAAAAAACTTAAGAAATTTTAAGCTTAAATAAGAACTAAAAACAAGAATTAAATGACTAACAAACCCCTATATAATAACTTTTAAAAGAATAACTTAATATTCTCAAATCTAAAAAGGAAGAATTCGAGAAACACAAAAAAAACATTAAGACATTGCTGATTAAATTTAAGCAGTCGTAAATACTATTTTTTTTCAAAACAATTAATTTTTTTTTTTTAAAGTTCAAAAGATAAAACGAACTAAGAGGTAAAATGAGAAAATGCTTGAATGAAAGTAAATCCTTGCAGAACTTGTTGCTTTATAAAAGAAAGTTGACAATGAAAACTTACTAATTAAGAAGAAAGAAGAATTGTCTCTTAAATTGAAGATCTTAAGCTTTCTCTACCTTATGCCGCGTAAGAGAATATTATTTAATTTTTCTTTATTTATTTTTTATATAGTCCTCTATAAAAATTAGAATATGAAAAAGTCGAACTCGAAAAATAAGGTAAATAATTAAAAGGAAAAATGGGAGCTGCTTTTAAAGCTTTCAAATAAGCTTAAGAAAAAGTCGACGAATATAGATCTAATTTAGATGACTTAAAAAAAGTATTATTTAATATTCTATTCCATTTTATTTATTTATTTTAAATAAAAATTTTAGATAAAAAAAGATTCATATGGAAAAAAAACCCCTGAAATTGAACTTATTAAGGGTGAATGTTAAAAGTAAGTAGATGAACTAAAAAAGATGAAAAATGATGCTTACAATAATTTCTCTAATTAAATGAAAGCATATAAGGATTAATAAGAATTATACAGATATATTGAATTCGTAAAGAAATAAGTAGATTATTTAAGAAGATAAGAAAAGAAAAAAAAGAAGAAGAAGAATATAAAAAAAGAGAAAAAGAAGAGAAAATTAAAGAAGAAGAAAATAAGAAAAACAAATATCTTAAATATGTTGACATGGCTGAAACCTTAATTAAATACTTACAAAGATTATCTGGAAAAAAACCAGATAAATCTAATTAATAGGATTAATAAATTGAATAAAACTAACCCTAATAAACTTAATTAAACAAAGAAGATATTGAAAAGCTTATAAAAAATGAAAAAATGACAGTTCTTGTAAGCAAAAAAGATTAACCTGACAAATCAAGAGATTTCTTCAGTGGATAAGGAAAAAATCAAAAGAAAAACTAATAATAGAAATAGTAAAGATAAGAATAATAATAATAATAATAAAAATAAGAATAGTAATAATAAAAAAATGAAATCAAAATAATGTTCAATCATACTTTTGAAATCCTTAAAGGCTTTAATATATTATCAGTTAGTACTCCTCTTTTGAAAGAAGAAATCGATAAGTCTATTTCTTTATTATAAGAAAAGAAATAATATTATATTGATTTACCTAATTAGGAAAATCTTTAAGATTTACAATAGTAAAAATAATAACGTTAAGGTGAAAAATAAAATCACAACCATTAGAAAAAGCAGGTTAAATAGATTGATTTAGATGAAAATTCATTCCCAACTATGTCTTGATTTTTTTCTTTTTTATTTTAGATATGATTCAAACTTTTCAATAATTTGTGAGGAATAGAATTCGTTAAAATAAATAACAAATTATTTTATATTTATTTATATATTTTAAAATTTTTTTATATATATTATATAAATTTCTCTATATATAAATATTTATATATTATATAAATTTCTCTATATATAAATATTTATATATTATATAAATTTATTTATATATAAATATTTATATATTATATATTTATATAAAAAATAACATATTTATTTTTATAATAAAAATATATATATAAAATTTATATCTATATTATATTTTAAAAAATATTATTTTTAATATATAATAAAATTTAAAAAATATTTTTTTTTTAAAAAAAAAGATAATATGGTAAGATATTTTAATGTAAAAAACAAATTATTAATTATAATAAATAGGGTTTAATTTCACTATTAAGAAATTTAAGATAAGGTTAAAAAGAAATAAGATTGTTAGTTTTAGGTTTAGATAATGCAGGAAAAACTACAATATTAAAAGCACTTTCGAATGAAGATATTACAACAATAAAACCAACACATGGTTTTAATATAAAAAACTTAACTCATGAAGGTTTTAAGTTAAATGTATGGGATGTAGGTGGTTAAAAAGCTCTTCGTACTTATTGGCAAAATTATTTCGAAAACACAGATGCCCTTGTTTATGTTATTGATTCTTCTGATTCTAAAAGGTTAAATGAATCTGGTGAAGAATTATAAAAACTGCTTTAAGTAATAATCTTAATTATATTTTTTTTTATTTTATTTAAAAGGAAAAGGACTTAGCAGGTGTTCCTTTATTACTATATGCTAATAAATAAGATTTAAATTTAGCTTTACCTCCTGATGAAGTATTTTTTTATTATTTAAATGTTTTTGTTAATAAATTGTTTTCTTTAAGATAAGTGAAACATTAAAGTTAGATGATATAAAGGATAGACCTTGGTCAATTGTAGCTTGTTCTGCTGTTACTAAAGAAGGTTTATATTTATTTTATATTTTTAATAATATTATATAATGCTTTTTATTTAATATATTTATTCAATTATAAATAAACATAAATAATATTATTTTTTAATATTTAGGAATAGATGAAGGACTTGAATGGCTTGTTTAGAATATTAAAAAATGATTTTTGTTTTATTTTTATATTTTCATAAATAAATTTCTTTTTAAATTAACTTTCTTTTTTTAAATAACAATTTTTAAAATAAAAAATATTAAAATAATAAATAAAATATATATTAAGATAACAAACAAAAAGTATAACTTAATTATTTAATAAGAATGTAAAAAGGAAAAATATAAATTCAAGTTTCTAGAGGAAATATAGATTTATTAATACGTTCTACATATTAAGAAATCAATAAATTAAAACTTAAAAGTGAACGTTTCTAAAAAAAAAAAAGATAAGAAGATGATAAGCTCCGAAAAGAAAGGTACAAATTAAAAAAAAATTAATAATACCTATTTTAAAAATACAAATATAATTTAAGATATGAAAGCATTTAAAATGAAGCCGCTTCTTCAGGAAAAAGAAATGCTGCTTTAGAAATGAAGTGGGCTGAATTGAATGATATTGAAGAATGTGAAGAATTAAATGCAGTATTTATTACCGAAAAATAAAAATATTAAATATTTATTTTATAAATAAAAAAATTAAAAGTAAATACAAGAATAGTAAAAAGTATTTGCATAAATAATTGAAGGAAAAGAAAATCTAAGAAAAGAATTTGAAGATGAATTAAAAAAGAAAGATGATGAATACATAAAAATGCTTAAAGAATAATCTAATGATATTAGAGATATGATTAAATAAATGAGAAGTTAATATACTTCTGTTAGATTAGCAAATTTAAATGAATTTGAAGATATTGAAAAACAATTTGAATAGGATGTAAATTTATTTTTTGTATTTATATATTAATTTTTTTTAAAAAATAGAGATAAAATTTAATTAAAGAATAATAAACAGAAATCGATAAAATATTCGAAAAACATAACAGTATAGAGAAAGAATATGTAGATTAATATGCAGCAAAAGAAGAAGATAATATCAAAAACATAGAAGATTTAAGAATAAAAGGAGCCAAACATTACGCAGAATTAAAAATAACAATGGAAACTGAAATTTAAGATTTAGAAAAATGCTTTGAAGACATGAAAGCATTATATTAACTTATTACTGAAAAATTAGACTATAGTTTAAAAGTTTTGAAAGAAAAACATGATGAAAACAACACTTTGTGTGATGAACTTAAAAGAAGAGAAAATAATTACAAAAACAGACTAAAAGATTTAATTAGGGATTATAATTAAGTTAATTTATTTTATTTTATTTTTAATCAAATATATTAATATATATTAATTATTTTTAGAAAGATAAGAACTTTAAAGAGGAAAATAAAAGATTAACTTAGGAATATAAAAGGGTTATAAAATAATTCAAAGAATTATAAAGAAAATTCAAACATTTCGAAAAAGCTGATATGGAAAGATACACTGAAATTTAAAAAATGAATGAAGCTGAAGTACAAAAACTAAAAGAATAAATAATTAAATGCAATATGACAATACACGTTTAGTAATTAGGAATAAAATGGGTAAATCATTTGACGGAAGAAGAAATTATAGCTAACTAATTAGCAAGTTAATAACCTGTTTTAGCGGAATCTGAAGAAGTATAGTTTTTGGTAAGCGAAAGTAAATTAAAAGAAATTTGCAAAATTATATTAGATGAAGCTGACTTTTTGATTGATGATAAACTTAGAGAAGAATTAGAAGGTAAACCAGAACATGAAAACATTTCTTAAAGATTAGATTGTATTAAAAAATGTTTATATATAGAATCAACAGATGAAATGAATATTTTTATAAAATAATTAATAACAACATGCAGAGTAAAAACTTTAGATGAATAATAAATGGAAGCTAAGTAAAGACTTATAGAGGCAGGAATAATTAAAGTATTATTGATAAATAAATATATAAATAAATAAATAAATAAATAAATAAATAAATATTAATAAAATAATAAATAAAATAAATAAATATTTTTATATTTTAATTAGCTATTAATAAAATTTTATATATTTATTTTATAAAATTAGGAAATAAAAGAAGAATAAAATGAAGAAGTATGTGAAAATAATTAAAACGATTAAATTTTAAATTAATAATAATAAAATTTACAACAAGTATAAAATCTTAAAGATTAAAATTTTCATAAAAATTAAAATGAATAATAATAATAATTATAAGTTGATAAATAAACGAATAAAAAAGATGATGATAAATAAAATTCTAAAAAATAAAAAGAAGTAGATTTTGTTGAACCAGTAGAATAATAATCATAGGAAGAATAGTTTGTTTAAGAAATAGATTTGGAAACTACTTAAATCAATATTAATGAAATTATTAGATTTTTATAAAATTGGCAAACAACTAAAGAATAAAGAAAGCATATGCTTGAAAGTTAAAGCTCTAAAAAAGCTGTTAAATAAGAAACTCAAAGAGAAATAAAGGAAAGAATTGCTAGAGAAGGTAAAAAATATTGGGAAAAACTTACATAAGTACTCCCTGCTAGAACTTTTAGAATTTGGAATGTAATTATTTAATTTTTAATCTTTTTTTAAACTTATTTTTTAGGTATTAGATAAATCTTTATCAGAGTATTATGAATTATTATTAGAAAGATAAAAACTTATTGAAGAAACTAGTGATTTACATAATTAAAATGAAGAACTTAAAAACTTGTTAAATCAATATATTTAAATTGATCATGAACTTATTATTAGGCCAACAAGGCTTATTAATGTTGATTAAGCATAGAAATGAAAACATAATTATTATCAAATAAATGAAGATTTTATATTAATATAATGTATTTTTAAATAAATATACAAAAGATATATTAATAAAAATAAATAAAATGATTGTAATAATTTATTAATTTATATATATTTAATTATTATAATTTTATTTTAAAATCAATTATAAATAAGTATATATTTTACAACTTCTCTTAATTAAAATAATTTGTTTTTTTAAGTAAAATTTAATTTTCAAAGGTTTTTTAATATAAATTTTTAAAAATGTTATTTTCTATTTTCTAATGGTGGAATAAATAATATTTTTTAATTAATCTTTTAAATTTTAATATATATTATTTTTTTATTTTTTTATTTTTAATAAGAAATATTCTAAATTAAATATAATCTATATTAAAAATAATATAAAATATTTATATTTAAATAATATTGAAATTTATCCTCTTAATAAAAATATAATAATGAATTAAAAATAAAGTGAAAATTCTGAAGAAGATGAATAAGAAAACATTTAAATAACTTAAAATAGTAATATTTAATAATTGAATTCGTAAAATCAATAATCTAAGTAAAACTAATAAAGATAAACCAAAATTTAGTTAAATGTAATAGAATAAAAACAGCTGAATAGATAAAATAATAATCAATAAAATGAAAATAAATAAAAAACTATTAAAAATTTGAATATGCCTAATTAATATTATAATATTCTTTTTTATAAAAATTAAATAAAATGTCTTCCAGATTTATAAGGTGAATATATTAATTATATTCTTACAGAGTGGTAAATATATAAAAATTATAATAAAAGTAAACTATATAATTATATATATTATAAGGAAAGGTAATTATGAGTTATTGGAAAAAAATCATCAATACATTTAATGGCTATTCCCTAATAATTATAGTTCACGCTTTAATAAATATTCATTTAAATTAAATCCTTATGAAACTTAAGAGTTTAAGAAAAAATAAAAATTATATATGAAATTAGTGAAGTAAATTTAATATATGTACTATTTTAATTATTTTTATTAAAAAGAGCTTATGATCTTATTTATGATTTTTTCGGTTTTAAAATAAAGAATTATTAAAGTGGGCATATAGAATTAAATTAAAATTATAAGAAAAGATTTAATAGTTGTTTTTTAATTAACACCCATAATCATTTAAGAATCGTTAGAATTTTAGCGCATTAAAATATAGTTGGATTCAGAAGATATGCTATTTAATTAGTAAAATTTTTAGAAGAATAAATTTATGGAAACAATCAGTAATAAAAAATAAATAAACCTCCACCTTTAAGGTAATTACAACATTTTCAAATTGTTAAAAGTTGGAAAAATTATGGAAGTGAAGCTACTCAATAATAACTTGAAAATTCTTGTCTAGAAACTATAGAAAATATAAATATAGAATCTAACTATTTTAAATTATTTAAAGAAAATGAATATGAAAATATAATAGTTAAGACTAATAATTTAAAATAATGATTTTTATATATATTATAGTAAAAATAATTAAAAATTTATATTTAAGCTTTAATAATAATAAATACATTTTTATATTAATGTAAATAAAAAATATAAAATAATCATTTACTGTAAAAAACGTAAATAAAATAAAGAATAAATAACTATTTATAATAAAATCGCATATAAATATAGAAAAATAATAAAATTATAATATAATGTATTTGATTTATATGTAATTAAATATATTATAATTGAAATTTTATATTTTAAAAATTATTTTTTTAAAATAAATAATTTTTCATTATTTAAGCATCTTAAATAAATTTTATATATAATTTTTTACATGAATTTTAAGGTATAAATTTCTTAAAATTTGTATTATTTTGAAAACTAATTAATTGGATAAGGTAGCTACGGTTAAGTCTACAAAGGCAAATACATATTAGAAAATGGACAAGAAACAGAAGTAGCTATTAAAAAGTTGAGAAAAAAGCTACTTAATAATTAATCTATAAACGAATATTATGAAAGAGAAATATAAATATCATACCAAATATAATAATTAGTATAAAATAATGCAAATTTAGTAAAATTACACGAAGTTGTTGTCAATAATGAATAAAATGATTCTTATATTGTAATGGAATTATGTGATTAAGATAATTTATTAAAATTAAAATTAAAATTTGGTAGGATTTAATGGCAAATTGCTCTTCAGTATATTTTATAAATAGCCAATGGTCTTTAAACTTTACATGATTTTAATATTACACACAGAGATATTAAATTGGAAAATATTTTCCTTAAATATGACTATTAATCAAATAAATATATTGTTAAATTAGGTGATTATGGATTAATGACAAATAATGATTTAAAAGTAAATTTTTTTTTTTTAATTTTATATTTAAAAAAGGTTTCAAAAGTTGGTACTATTACTAATATGGCACCTGAAATGCTTTTGTTAGAACCTTAAAATCAAATATATACTCATAAAGTAGATATATGGGCTGTAGGATGCATTTTACATGAATTAATTGTAGGAGAAAAAATTTTTCAGGAAAATAATCCGAATATTGTAAGAATAAATATTCTAAATTTTAAGAGTTATAAAGATTTTTGGAAGGAAAATATGTTTTAGGAATTGGTGCCTGAAAATATAGCTGATTTATTAGATAATATGATTTAGTAAAATGTTGCTTAGAGATTTAATGCCAATGAATTATATATTGCGATTTTTTAAATATTATAAATGACACCAAAATATAGTTATTATAGTTAAACTGAAAATAATAATTTAGAATTTGTTGATTAAAATTAATATTTTAATAATCAAAAAGTTTATTATGAGAAAATAAAGAATATTTCTTTAGAATTATAATCAAATGAAGTAATAGAACAATAAATTAGTTTTTAATAGATAAATTCATAAAATAAAGATAATTTAGAATAAAAATTGAGTATAAATGATTTGAAATAAAAAATAGCAGATTTGGAGCAAGAATTAGATTATACAAGAAATGAAAAAGAAGAAAAAATAAAATAGATTTTCTCTCTTTAGGGTATATTGGATGATATGAAATTTTAAAGCTCTATTTAGGAAAAAAAATTAATAATTTCTAAAACCTAATTTTTAATTATAATTAATAAAAATAATAATTATAATAAAATATTGTTGAATTAAATAATTAATTAAAATCTAAAAACGATTAAATAGAATTTTTAACATAAAATGAAATTAAAATTTAATAGAATAATTTAATTTAAATCTAATAAATATATTTTTAATAAAATATTGTAATTGAAAAATTATAATAAGAATTAACTTAAACAATTTATCAAAAAAATTAAAATGAAATTTAGGTTGTTAATAATACTGTTGAAATTTAAATGCTTCAGAAATAAATTAAGCAATTAGAATTGAAAAATTTAGAATATAGTTAATAAATTTTAAGTAAAAATTCAGAAAATATTTAATTCAAATATATATTAAATCATAATATAAGTGATATTTTGGAAAAAATTTAAACTATTAATTTGGATATTAACAATTAAAAATAATAAGACTTACTATTTATAATTATTAATAATTTAAATTAATTCAAAAGTTAATTAAAATTAGAATGAAATTATTAAATCAGGTAAAAATTAGATCATATTAAACAGTTGATTAAAATATTTATGTAAATATAAAACATTTTTATTTATTTATTTAATTTTTAAAATATTTATTTTATAAAAATATTATGAATTTGATTTTTTTTATTTTTTTTGTTTAAAAAAAAAATATATATTTATAAATTATTCGATAAATATATTATATATTAATTAATAAAATAAATTATTAAAAATATATATTTAAATAAATTCTTACACGTAAAAAGTAAATTTTCATATCTTTTTTTATATAATTAAATTTATTAAAAAAATAAATATAAAATAAAAAACTATATTATATATATATATTAAATTTAAAAAAGTTAACAAAAGAAGTAAAATATATACACAAACATTTTCATAAAAAAAAATATATATTTATATATATAAAATAGCTAACAATAATGATAGTAAAATTTGAAGCAAAAAGTAAAAGAGTAAAAGGATTAGCGTTCCATCCTATAAGACCTTGGGTTTTATCTGCATTACACACTGGTGAGATATAATTATGGGATTATCGCCTTAAATAACTTTTGGATGTATTTGAAGACCATGAAGGTCCTGTAAGAGGAATCGATTTTCATCCCACATAGCCTCTTTTCACATCTGGAGGTGATGATTATAAAATCAGAGTATGGAATTACAAGCAAAAGAAATGTTTATTTGTAATGAAAGGTCATTTAGATTATATCCGAACAGTTTAATTTCATCATGAACTTCCTTGGATTTTAAGTGCTTCAGATGATTAAACTATAAGAATATGGAATTGGCAAAACCGAAACATGATTGCAATTTTAACAGGACATTCACATTATGTTATGTGTGCTTAATTCCATCCTTCTAAAGATTTAATTGCTTCCTGTTCTTTAGATTAGACTTTACGTATTTGGGATTTTACAGCTACGAGAAAAAAATTCATGCAATCTTCATCTAATAAAGTAATTTTTATATATTTTTTATATATTTAACAAAAATAAATATTTTTAGTCCTCTACATAAATGCATAGTGGAAACGAAGTCGACATTCATTCAGTTTTAGAAGGACATGAAAGAGGTATTAATTGGTGTTGTTTCCATCCTACTTTGAATTTAATAGCTTCTGCTGGTGACGACAAGAAAGTTAAAATTTGGAAATATACTGAAACCAAAGCTTGGGAACATGACTCTTTATACGGACATAATAATAATGTTTCTTCAGTCACTTTCCATCCTAAATTAGATATTATTTTATCTAATAGTGAAGACAAGACCACAAAAGTATGGGACTTAAACAAAAGATTGCCCATGGATACTTTTAAGAGAGATAATGATAGGTTTTGGGTTCTATGCGTCCATCCTGAAAATTTGACTTTTGCTTCTGGATGTGACAGCGGATTTTTCGTTTTTTCTTTGTTTAAAGAAGGAATTCCTTAAGCTTTAACTGATAATGATAATTTGTTTTACACTTATAGGAGATAAATAAAACATTTTAATCTTAATTAAAAAGTGGAAAGTATTGTAAAAACTTTCGAATCTTCATCTTAGGGAACTTTAATAAGTGACAATATAATATTCTTATAATATAATAATTATGAAAGTTAAAATATTTAATTTATCGTTGGAGTTGATTAGAAAGATAAATCTGTGAATAAATACGTGCTACTTTCTTATGATACTAATAAATTTGATGATGTGAAAAATTCGAAGGAATCTCAAAAAACTTTTTACGCAAAAGGAGCTGTTTTTGTATCCAAAAACAAAATTGCGAGAATTAGAGAATCTTTAGAAGTCGAAATATACAACGTGGATCTAGACTCGTAAAAAATTAAAAGCAATACATTTTTTAAGTAAAATAAAAAATATAGAACAAGCAATTCGCTACCAGATATTAGAGACGTTAAGAAAATATTTTAAGGGCCAATTGGAAAAGTAAGCAAAAGCTTTATTTTAAAATAATTTTATTATTTTTAAGATAATAATAGTTACAGATGAAAACATTATTTTATATGACACATCTACTAAAAAAGAAATTAGTAAATTCCCTTATAATCCAGAATTTTCGAAAGTAAAGCAAGCTATATGGAATAAATAAAGTACCATGGTTTCTTTGGTTTGTAAGAAAAATATTTATATCCGTAATAAGAATTTGGACAAGATATGTGATATTAAAGAAAAATTCAATATCAAATCCCTTACTTGGCACAATAATTTGATTTTCTATACGACTATAAATCATTTAAAATTCGGTCTTTTAAATGGAGAAACAGGTATTATTAAATGCATTGATTCGAATCTTACAGTAGTTAAGGTGGAAGACAACAACCTTATTTCAATAGATCGTTAATCTAAAATATTAAAAACAAGCATTAATTGCGAAGAATTGTAATTAAAGAAAGCTCTTTATGATAAAAATTGGGAAAAAATAAAGTATTATATGGAAAACAATTAAAAATTAGGAAATTCGGTTGTTTCTTATTTATACAAGAAAAATTATTCGGCAATAGCCCTTAATTTAGTTGAAGATGTTAAAGCCAAATTCTCATTAGCTGTAGATTCAGGAAATTTAGAATAGGCCTTTAAATCCGCAAAAGAATTGAAAGATCCTGAATGTTGGGCTGTAAAATAATATTTTAATTTATAAATAAATAAAAATAATATAAAAAAATAGAGATTAGCTGAAGAAGCTAAAAGATAAGGGAATCATTAAATAGTTGAAATAGCATATCAAAATATAAAAGAGTTCGAAAAATTATCATTTTTATATTTAATAACCGGAAAACAAGAAAAACTCTAAAAAATGCTTGATATCTCGATCAAAAGAGGTGACATAATGGGCAGATTCAACAATGCTTTGATTCTAGGTGATATTCAATAAAGAATCAGAGTATTAGCTGATTCAAACTAATTATAATTAGCCTATTATACTGCTGTAGTCCATAATATGCCCGAATTAGCTTAACCTTTGAAAGATTCTTTAGATTAATTAGACTATTTTGAATAATTAAAATCTTATAAATCCACAGCCATTATACCTCCTAAACCTTTAGTTTTAAATCCAGAAACAAGCCCTCAATGCACCAGAAATTGGCCTCAAAATGTCATCACTGAAGAATATATGGTCATCCTTGCAGAACCTGAAGGAGAAGACAATCAATAAAATAACATTCCTGAAGCAGCCAAAGCCCAAAACAACATAGTTGACGAGGAAGAAATACACGAAGAAGCCTTAAAATAATAAGAAGAAGAGAAAAAAATAAACTTCAATAATGAAGATGATTAAGATATTGGAAATTGGGCCTAAGACGACGACTTAGACATTCCAGAATTTGAAAATGAGAAAAAAGATACTTAGATTTAAAATAATGCGTTTTTAGGAGAAGTTCAATTAAGTAAATTATTAAAGGCAGTAAAATAATCATAAATCCCGGCAGATCATGTATTCTTTGGTTTATTCGAAAACGCTTTCTAACTATGGAAAAAATAATTAGGAATTTACAATTTCCTACCTCTTTTGGGCGAAAGCTTGAAAATAGCTACTTGCTCGTTTACTTTATTTCAATAAATTCCTTTTTTATAACCTACTTAATAACATTTGCATTAAAATAATAAGTAATTTTATAATTATTACATTTTTTTATTTATTTATATATAAAACAAAAAATACAATAGACCTTTTATTTGCAAAAATATGAGTTCTTTATAAAATTTATTAGTTACAGGTTCTAAGTATACAACAGATGGTAAATTTAGTGAATCATTTAATGCTTTTTTGGACGTTTTATATACAATTCCTTTAGTCAAAATCACTAACGAATAAGAACTTAAAGACTTGAAATAATTAATTAGCATATGTTATGAATATTTAATTGCTATGAAATGTGAATTATAAAAAAACAATGAACCAAATCGTAAATTTGAATTGACTGCTTATATGGCCATATGTAATTTGAAACCAAATCATAGAATTTTGACACTTAGAGTAGCTATGAATTAAGCTTACAAATTACAAAACTATATTTATTCGAGCTATTTTGCGAAAAAACTAATTCGCTTGTTGGAAACAAATCCAAATTTAGCTAAACCTGATGTTATTTAAGGAGCTTAAAAGGTACTTAAAGCTTGCGAAGCTAATGGAACTAATGCTAATTAAATTAGCTTTGATGAATCTTGGCTTTATGAAGATGATGCAGCTTATAATATTGATCCTTATACTATGAAAACATTGTAAAATCCCAGAGAAGCTATTAAATGCCCTTATTGTGGGGCAAGACATAACAAAAATATGGTTGATACTATTTGTAAATTGTGTAATTTAGGAAAGTTGGGTATTTAGGTAATGGGTTTAAAAATTTGAATTTGAAAAACAGTATTATATATACAAATAAATATTTTTATTATTATTTATTATTTTTTTGAATTTTTATTAAATAATAATTAAAAATTGAATAATTAATGATTTTTGTATTTGTTTATAATAAAATATATATACATAAATATGTTAAAAGTAATTATAAGTTATTATATATTGAATAAAAAAATAAATAATTAAGATTAAAATATTAATTCATTTTAAATTAAAAAACTTATTTATTTGAAAAAATTTTAAAATCTTAGTTTTTAAATTATTTTCTTTTTATACATTTTATATAAAGATCTTAATAGAAATTAAAAACTTAATAACTTATTTTTATATTTATAATTTTTATTAATATATATTTTTATTATTTATATATATATATATCTTTATTTTCTTGTATATTTTTTGCTGTTTTCAATTTATAAGTTATTCATAAATGGTTTTTAATTTTTAACCAGATTAAAGTAAAAAGTTTTCACTATCTTGCATATTATATTATCGTTATTATAATATTAAAATGATCGACTTAATTATAGAATCAATATAAATTCTTACTTTTACTTTTTTTTCTACTTTATCATTTTATTAATTTATTTTTTCTAAATCTTAAATATTTTAATTTTTATGTTAAAATTAAATTCCTTATTATATTTCTTCAAATTAATCTTTAATATCTTATTTTTCATTTTATTCTTTGCTCGAGTTATTATCAACTAATTATTATTATTCTTTAATTTTTATTTTAATAATTCTATTTCTAATTGATATTTATTATGTATTTATATTTCTTATAAGTTAATCATAGATTAATTTTGATTTTATATTTATAACTATTAATTTAATTAATTTACTTTATTCTTTAATTATGAATTTAAACTTACTAATTATTGAATTTCTTAATTTAATTTATTATTCTCATTTACGATTTTTTAATTTTTTTATTATTCAGTAGTGAATATTTGATTTTGCATTTGCTAAGTTTGTTAATAATTTTAGATATATTAACTCATTTTTACAATCTTCTATATAACTTATTACTTACAAAATGTTAAGTCTTTTACTAGAATCTATTGTAATCATTTAATTTAATAACTAAATTATGTTTTAATTAATCTATACATTAAAATTAACTTATTTGTATCCTTTAAAATTAATAATTGACAATCTTATTTAATTAATATCGTTTCCTTAAAAAAGTTTTTCTCCAATCAACATTTCATGTAAAGCGCATCCAAGAGCCCAAATATCTACTTTTTCATTATATTCTTATTTATTTAAATCTAACATTTCAGGAGCCATATAAAAAATAGTACCAACTTTAGATTATAAATCCTAAAAATAAATTTTATTTTAATTTATTTATATATTAATATAAAGAGTTTACTTCACTATTTTTTAATAAACCGAAATCTCCTAATTTAACTATATAATTATATCCGTAATTAGATTTTTACAAAAAAACATTTTCTAGTTTTATATCTCTATGAGATAATCCTTTTTTATGCAAAACTTTTAATCCTTAGGCTATTTGTAAAGTATATTCTATTGCCTAAATAAGAGAAAATTATTATTAATATTATTTATTTAATAAGTCTTTAAGAGAAAATTTATTGCAAAGCTCCATAACAATAAATGCTTCATCATTGCTTTATATTACATCGTAAATTTAAATAATTTATTTTTTATTTTTAAAACTTTTTTTTAAAAATTATGATATTTATATTTCCTTTTCAAAATATTTATTTAATGTTATTCCATCTTGCATAAGTTATGATATTTTTTTTATAGCTACATCAATATTTATTTGCTAAATTTAATTAAAATAAATGCCTTTATAGACTGTGGAAAATCCCCCTTATCCCAATACACTATTTTAATCATAAGAACAGTATTAACATATTTATTTCATTTATTAAAATATATTATTTTTATAATTTATTTAGATATTTAATTAAAAAAATAAATATTTTTACTAATAAATAATTATAATAAAAAATTAAAATAAGCTTTTTTTTTTCAAATAGTTTATTATAATTTCTTAAAGAAATAATTTTAAGAATATAAACATAATTATATTTAAAATTATAATATTAGTTATTTCGTTCTCTAAATTAAAAAGAAAAAATCCTCTTGATATTCCTTAAAAATAAGTTTCCAAATATATTATTCGTGATTGTTTATATGTTAAAATCTAATTGTATTATTAATAGCTTTAAAAATACTTTAGTAATTATAAATGCCATATTTATAAGATCATTTCTGTATTTATTATTACAAAAAATTTATATAATGGTGGACTATTAGATAAGAAAAAGGACCTGTATTGATATCGATGTGTGTTATAATTTTAACCTCGAATAAATGCAAATGTTGATAGATTGAAAATTGAATTATGGTAGTGATGGTAGATTAAAAATATTGAAAAGAAGGTTAAATAAAAATACTAGTATTAAGTTTAAAATCATACTAAAAATTGTTCTAGTTTATAATAATGAAACATTGTAATTTAATTATTTAATGGAATATATTTAGTTATGTTAACTTTAATATTTATTAAATTTTTTTACATATAAATAATAATTTAAATTTATTATTTAAAAGATAAAATTATTTTTTTATAATATATAAATAATATGTATATTTATAAATATTATTATAATTATATTATAACCTAAAATATATTTATATTTATTTTGTTTTTAATTTGAAAAGATTTTTTTTTTTTTTTTAATGATAAATAAATTTCTTTAAAAAAAACTAAATTTAAAAATTTCAACTTGTTATATAACTTATAATATCTTTTTCAATTATATTTTGTTTTTAAATCAAATATTTAGTATAATTACTTAATTTTTTTATGATTCCTACTTTATCTCTAATTACCTTTAATTTATTATTAATTTAATTAGCATTATTACCCAAAAGAATCCAAAAATACCAAATAGATTTTTTTTTATATTTCATTAATTCTTAAATAACTTAATTAAATTCATTTTCATCTTAGCTATCAATTAATTATTAAACTAATAATTTATCTCTATTAATTACATGTGGAGGTTGAAAAGTGATAGTCCCTTAAATCTTTAGTTTTGTAGATTTTACGTTCATTTTTTAAATAAAAAAGTTATTTTTATAAGAAAACTATTTTTTTTGCTCATCATATATATCTTAAAGTTAATCAAATACATTATCAGGAAACAAGAAAGGGTTTTTATACATTTTCATTAGAATGCAATTTTTCCTCACATTATTTTGACCTTATATAGTATTTTAAATGAAAAGAGCTTTAGTGCATTTCTCATTTCTAGTTAGTAATAAAGCATGTATATTCTAATTTTGTATAAATTAAAGTGTTTTTTCAATAATATAATTTTCTTAAACAAGATTTTTATTATTGAACATTTATAAAAACAAAAACCTATAAAAATTAATTAAATGGACATTCTCCATTATATCATTCTCGAGTTTTTAATACATTTTACTTATTTACACTGGATCGGATTGCATTAAATTTACTAGTTGTAATATGCTGAATTCTTAATTATAGTTTAGCATTTTTCTTCTTAAAGCTTCTTCTATTATTGCCTAGAAAAATTCTTCTATTTTTTTTTCATTTTCAAATTCAACCCATTCTAATTTTAATCCGCAATAAATTTAGCACAGAAAAATATAAATATTTGGAATTTTATCTTTATCCCTATAAATAGGGTCTATAAAGAAATTCTCAAATTAATTTAAAGTATTTTATTTTAATGTTTTTCCTTAAGATTATTCTATTTACATTTATTCAATATCCTAAATGCATTCTGAACAAATTTCAAGGCAAGTTCTACCAATCCAATTTAATTAAGTTATCAAAAACTCTCCTTTTTTCTCCAATATTTATCTTACAATTTAATTGTAAAGTAAAAATGGAACAGCTCTTTTCTAAGTGTGATGATATCCCAAAGAATCTTAAGTCACTATCCACCCAAGGATTGGTTCTAACCATAATCTGGCCATTTATCAATGCAAAGGATTTATAAATATAGGCATGACCGCATTTATACATTCTCTATTTTACTCCTTTTATTATTTATGAATCCTCTCCATCAAATCTTTGTCTAGAATATGGCATATCAAATTAGAATTTACAGGAATCTATATATGATTTTGCACTAATAATAGATGGTTAAACTTATTTTATTTTAAGACTTTCAGGACGTACAATTGCAAGCTCAGTTTTGGTTATAATAAATGTTATACATAAACAATCCTATTCAAGTAGCGATTCAAGGAAGTTATTACGGGTCAGGAAACACACTGGTATGTTTTATATGTCTTTTTTGTATACAAATTCGTATTATTCAAAATTTTACTTAATGTCTGATAATAGGACTCTTCTTTGTTTCTTGTATTCGTTAAATTGGATAATACTGGCCTCTTTACGTTTTTAAAGGCGCTTTTTGAATATTTTGTTCATAATATTTGGATAAGCCAATTAATTTAAAATTGCAATTTCTTCAGAATTTATTTGATTTTATAAAAATTTATCAATAAGTTAATTACATTCATAAATCTATCTATACATTGAGGAGAATCTTTAAAAGATTTTTTTTTAGGATTTTCTGTCTTTAGATTTGTAGGATTTTGCTGTAAGTTCATCTTTTAAGAGAGTTAATTCTTAAATTCTTTTATGGTATTATAGGATTTTAATCTGTTCAGGTTTATTTCTTACTTTGTTTATCATTTATCTAAGTTCATTTATAAAATCTATTATTTAATTATTCAAAATTACAAATTCAAGTAATAATTCATTTTTTTATCTTTTAAAACGGAAATTTTCTTATATTATTTTTATATAAGACTCTGCTTCTACTTTGTAGTTTAATTTTAATAGATATAAACATTCCTTTTCTAAAAAATTATATATATCTAAATCCTATATTTCCAATTCGAATAATTATTTTATTTATTCAGTATTTATTACTGAATAATTTTTAATTACGATGTCATTTTCTAGATTTGCAGGTATCGTTTCATCCCATAAAAATAATTATTTTTCTTTATATTTTAAATAAGCACTTAATCTAGATTCTTCTATTATTTCACAAATATTATTAAAGGCTAAATCTATTTCTTTAGCATCTTTTATGAATTAATACGTAGATTAAACAGTATTTATTTATATAATTTTATCTAATATTATAGAATCATGGTTCTTTCCCATTCCTAAGGCATGAACTTCAACATACTTAAGATTTTTTTTTAAACATTCTTTCATATTTGTGTAAGATTTATGTAAATTATGTTTATCTAATTCATTGTTTATTTATCCGTCAGTTAAATATATGATTACTAATTATTCTTCGGGGTTAATTTAAGTTGATATTTCTGCTATTTTATCGAATGTATTACAGAATATAGTTCCTCCATAAGCTTATATTGATTATATGGTAAATAAAATCCATTCAGGACCGAATTCATGCAGATTTTATTAATAACTAATTTCATGATTAAAAGTCATTATAGATATTTTAGATTATTTCTATACACATGCTACATGTTAAATTAATTATAATGATAGCTATTTTGTTAATTCCATTACAGTGCCTAACATTGATTTACTATTATCAATTATTAATTAATAATTTCTTACATGTTATGAGGCTAAACTGAAATTTTAATTTCTGTCGAATATTAAGGTTTATGATAGTATTTGATGATTGTTCGATTTTTCAAGTTCTAGTTAGAGTTCAAAGTCAGGAAATAATTATTACATTTTTTTTTTAAGAGGTTTATTTATAATTTATTATATTAAAATATTTATATTTATTTAATTATTTAATCAAAACATAATATTTATATTATGATATTTTATTATAATTTCATTATTTATTTTAATTTTAACTATATAGACACTTCAATTTAAAAATTAATTAAATTATAAATTTAATGATATTTTGTTTATATATGTTAAAACAAATTTCAATAATATTAATTAATAATACTATATATTAAGCATATTATATATTAATTTTTTCTATTTTTTTAGGAGTTTTTAAAAAATTTTTTAGTTAAAATTAATCCATAAATTTTTTTTATTAATAATATTAACTTATTTTGTTGATTTTATTTATTTATTTTTAAAAAATAAATATTAATTAAGCCTTTTGATTTTTTAAAAAATAAATTATTAATATTTCTTTAATAGTATAATCTCAAAATTATTTTTTAATAAAAAAATAAATTTATATAAATGTATAATTAATTTGCTTTATTATAATAACTATGTAATATATTTTGATTACTTTTTTATTCTAATATATTTATTTAAAAGGAAAGTTTATAAAAGAATTTAATAAAAATATATTTGATTTATTGCTCTATATTAATTTTTTATATTCTAATATATATTATATTTAATTAATTTTAAATATTATAAATCTTATTATTTTTTTTGTTTAGATGAAATAAATATTCATTAATTAAATTAAAATATCTTATATATTTTTATTATATTTAATTTAAAATAATATTTATTAATTATTTATTCATTTATTCATATAA